TACCGCTCCAGTCTCCTCCAGCTATCTGCTGAACTAAGTAGGAGATGGTGTAGTTGGGTAGCAGTGAGGGGTGCAAAGTTCCTGCAACTTGCACGTGCAGAGTTTGCCGCCCGGGTGTTTTGGCGCGCTCAGCAGCAATTCCTATTGGCTTTTGAAAGCACAGCTTTCAATGGAGTAGCACAGATCAGGCAAAAGTTGAAAAAAAACATCAAAAAAAGGTCCCGGAAAGCCTTCTGAGTGTTCTATGAGGGAAAAAAAGCCCTGCAGATAAGTCTTTAAATATAGAAAAAGAGGACATTTTCAAGGGAGGACAGAACTCCCAAAAGGAGGACGGTTTATGGAAAAGGAGGACATTTAGGAGGACACTTTTTGAGGGAGGAGAGAACTCAAAAAAGGAGGACTGTCCTTCCAAAAGGAGGACGGTTGGTCACCTTACTTGTAACAAGTTCGAAGTTCCAGCCATCACGATAGCCCGCAGTCACGTGATCATGATTTGGGTGCTTGGCAATCTGCTCACACTTACAACAGTTGCAGTAGTGACCCTCCCAGTCCAGCTACAGCAACCACTAACCCCATCCCATCTCAGCCTGCTTGCAAGCCATCCAGGACTTGAGGTTTCAGCTCCCCCAGTGACTTTGCCTGTTGGAAGTCGGCAGGGAGCTGTGACGAGGTTCTCACTTAACGACCCGCGATCCTCACTTAACGCCAGCAATGGGGAGTGCCAGCATTGCCGTGGCTAAGTGATGTGACATCGCACTTTACATTGTTTTAGTGAGAGAAATTCCTTATTTTTGTTGTTAACCAAGAACTACCTCTGTGGACCGTTTGTTGAAAAAAGAAAAAAAAATAAATTCGTGGCTTTAATTAAATTTATGGATTTGGAGTGGAAAGAGAAGATGAGAATTAGTTGATAGAAAAAAGAAGGAAGCTATAATTCTCTTTCCTTTCCTTTCCTTTCCTCTCCTTTTTTTCTTCCTCCTTTCTATTTTCTCCTTTCCTTCCTTTCCTTGTTTTCCTCCCACTTTTTTTCTCCTTTTTCCCCCTTCTCTTTTCCTCCCCTCCCTTTTTCTTTAACTTCTTTCTTTTTTAATTTTCTATCTTCTTTTTTGCTTATTTTGTCTTTAATTTTCTTTCTTTTATTGTATTCAAGAACTCAAATAAGTAAATAGGTCTGCAGCACCTTATTTTCTTCCTTCTCTGAGACACCCCCCCCCCCTTAAAAATAGGCTGGCGAGATTGTGATGAGGGTGAGATTGTGTCTGCCTTGCCTGCTCATATCACAATCCCTGGCTGCTTTATGGGCTGTTTGTTTGTTTGTATTAGCCACTCCAATTTAGGGAGCTGATATTCTGTTTGTTGTCCCTTTGCCAATCCACATTCTAACAACCTCTTTCATGTCTTAAAATTTGTTCCTTGTTTTTCCGATTCTTACAGCCAGTCTCCATGGAGGCTGAAAGCTCTAACTCTCTCCACGGAGATGAAAAACAAAAACAATCCTTAATGCAGTTTCAAAACTGTGCGGCAAATGAAAACAAAGGACTCTCCAATAAATATAATTTTACATTCGCCAAAGAAAGCATAAAAATTGTGTAAGATGGAGTCTTCTATCCTCTCTGCCAAAAAAGGGACCCCAAAACTTAGTTCTGGATTTTGTAACTTTAATTAACCAGGATGATTAAAGAGCAATTAGGATGATTAAAGGCCTGGAGACTAAAACATACGAAAACGGTTCCAGGAATTGGGTATGTCTAGCACAGGGGTAGGCCACCTTGGCTCTTCTATGACTCGTGGACTTCAACTCCCAGAATTCCTGAGCCAGCATGGCTCAGCTTGGAAACTCTCCTTTTTTTCTCAGCATGGCTGGCTCAGGAATTCTGAGAATTGAAGTTCACGAGTCATAAAAGAGCCCAGGTTGCCTACCCCTGTCCTGGGCCTAGGCCGCTTTATGACTCGTGGACTTCAACTCCCAGAATTCCTGAGCCAACATGGCTCAGCTTGGAATCCTCTCCCTTTCCCCTCAGCATGGCTGGCTGAGGAATTCTGGGAGTTGAAGTCCACGAGTCATAAAAGAGCCAAGGTGGCCTACCCCTGGCCTAGTCTAATGAAAAGAAGTAGGGGTGACATGATAGCAGTGTTTCAACATTTGAGGGGCGGTCACAAAGAAGAGGGGGGTCAACTTATTTTCTAAAGCACCTGAAGGCAGGACTTGAAAAAATGGATGCAAATTAATCGAGGAGAGAAGCAACCTGGAATTAAGGAGAGACTTCCTAACAGTGAGAATAATTTATTAGTGGAACATCTTTCCTTCAGAAGATGTGGATGCTCCAACCTTGGGGGGTTTTAAAAAGAGATTGGACTGGTCTCAAATTATAAACAGCAGTGGTGGCGAACCTTTTAGAGACCGAGTGCCCAAACTGCAACCCAAAACCCACTTATGTATCGTTGGGTGCCGGGTGGGCATGGCCCATTGGGTGGGCACGGCTGCTGTGCTAACGGCAGAATGGGTGAGATTAAAAAGTTCAATCAGTCAATTCCAACTTTGTGAGATCTTTTTTTTCCCCTGCAAGAAGTTGAAATTGATTGATTGATTGAACCTTTTTTTTTTTTTTTGCATCCGGCAGCGGAGGCCTAAAACGAAAAACTTTTATAAAACCCAGCTGAAGGCCCAGGACTGGGGCGACAGCTCGCGTGCCCACAGAGAGGGCTCTGCGTGCTACCTGTGGCACGCGTGCCATAGGTTAACCACCACGGATATAGGGTCTGCTGCTTGAGTAGGGGGTTGAAGACCTCCAGGGTCCCTTTAAGCTCTATTCTGATTGAATCCCACATTATCTCCCACAAATATACTTGATGCTTAATGCCTCACGGTTCAAGATCAATGTTTTCCATCGTATTAATCATGCCTTTCTATGCTAGGAAAGCATTTTAATTAATCTCCCTCCTAATTTACATGCGGTTTTGTTTATCCTTCTACTGAGATGTATTGATATTAGCGGATGCAAAGACCGTCACAGCAAGCTGAAAAGGCCTCTTTTAATTTTTTTAAAAGCATCATGTGAGGAAGAACGGGATTGATTATTATGAATATCACTGCAAAATTCTCATATTCTATACTGTATTCAACTTACAACCACAGCAGAGATCAAAATTTCTTTCGCTAAGCAACGACAGCTCTTAAGTGAGTTTTGCCTGATTTTGCGACTTTCCTTGTCACAGTTGTTAAGTGATTCACTCCAGGTGTTAAATTAGTAACACGGTTGTTAAGTGAATCTGGCTTCCCCCATTGACTTTGCTTGTCAGAAGTTCGCAAAACGGGATCACGTGACCCCAGGACACTGCGACCATCATAAACATGAGTCAGTTGCCAAGCGTCCAAATTTTGATCACAAGACTGTGAGGATGTTGCAATGGTCATGTGAAAAACAATCATAAATCACTTTTTTCAGTGCCACTGTAATTTTGAACAATCACTAAATAAATTGTTGTAGGACTACAAAATTCTATAAAGTCTGCTATTAATGCCATCAATTCTCACCTTGGATTAGCTTGGGGGGAGTTTGTTTACAACTGGGGAGAATCAGTAGGGGAGAAATAATGATCCAAGCTGGTCTGATCTCCTTTCAGTTATCTTCTGAACATCCCTGCGAGGTAGGCTGGGCTAAAAGGAACCAATTCAAAATAGCCCAGGCAGGATCCATGGCTGAAGTGGGTTCACACCTCAGACTTCCCAGCAGCACAGCAATTGAGTAACCAGGTTATTGAGGTTTGCAGGTGCTGGAGAGACCATGCTGAAGTGTGGCTGTTTCCTGAGGACTAGTCCCCTCAAATTGAATGCTACAAATATTACAACCTTTCATCCTCTTACTTGCCTTAACAAAATAATAAGAGTCAGATTGAATCCCCCTAGTTATATTTTCCATCCCACCAAACATAAAATAACAGAACGTGTGGATGACCTTACTCTCAATCAGAATAAAGCTGGGAGTGAGTTTGGAAGTTGTCTCGTCCAGAAGCCCCCAACATTTTGGGCACTAGGGACCACTTCCGTGGAGAGAGGTTTTTCCATGGACCAGAGAGTGTTTGGTTTTGTGTGCTGCCTACATCCCGCGGATGGGGCTTTGCTTGTTTGTGCGGACCAGTTGCTGGCATGCTGCAGACCGGGGTTTGGGGACCCCTGTTCTGTCCAATTCCCTGCTCAACCAGAAGACCCTATACCAGGGGTAGGCAATCTTGGCTTTTATGACTCATGGACTTCAATTCCCAGAATTCCTGAGCCAGCATAGCTGACTCAGGAATTCTGGGAGTTGAAGTCCATGAGTCATAAAAGAGCCAAGGTTGCCTACTCCTGCCCTATACCATTTCAGACAAATGGTTGTCCAATCTTTTCTTAAACACTTCCAGTGATGGAGCACCCAGAACTTCTGGAAGCAAGTCATTCCACTGATTAATTGTTCTCACTGTCAGGAAGTTTCTCCTTAGTTCCAGGTTGCTTGTCTCCTTGATTAGTTTCCACCCGTTGCTTCTCGTCCTGCCTTCAGGTGCTTTGGAGAATAGCTTGACTCCCTCTTCTTTGGGGCAGCCCCTGAGATACTGGAACACTGCTATCATGTCCCCCCTCGTCCTTCTCTTCATTAAACTAGACATACCCAATTCCAGCAGCCTTTCCTCATATGTTTTAGTCTCCAACCCCCTTCATCCTCTTTGTTGCTCTTCTCTGCGTTCTTTCCAGAATCTCAACATCTTTTTTAATATCCTGGAAACCAAAACTGGATGCAGTGATTCCAGGACTAATTAACCAGCCTGATTAATTAGCGTACCCTCGATTTCAGCCATCCGGAGACGGACCGAGGTTCCCCCAACACGGAGCCTCTCTTTCTATGGGAATCTGGGGGCTGGGGAGGGTCGTGCGGCCAAGAACTACAATTCCCAGGAAGCCCTGCGTCCCGAGCCCGTGCCAATGTCCTGGCATGCCACCGTATTTCTGGAGAAGGCGATTTCCGGGGGTGGGGGAGCGAGATTCCGAAGGGAGACACCCCTTTCCTCGCCCAGGGACGCCCTTTGTACGGATCCTCACGACTGGATCGCCCGTCCGTGGTCCTGCCCGGGGCAAAAGTTGCTTTTCCTTTGTTTAATTCAGCCCTCTCCCCCTGCCCCGTGTCCCAGCGCCTTTCCCGGCGGGGCCGTCTCCCCTCCTGCTGGACATCGCCTGCTTTTGCAAACGAGAGCTCAGCCCGGAAGGATTGCACGGAGCTCGGTAAGGCCGTTTCCACGTCCTTCTCCTACCCACCCGCGTCCGAGTTTGCATTCGTCTCGCCCCTTCAAGCCTTTTGATGAAGCCATTCCGCCCGCGCCCCTCCCCCCCACCCACGATTTTCCTTTGGACGGGACTCAGTTATGGCGCGTTCACACGACATGCCCGACGAAGTAACACGGGATTCCGCCGGTTGTGGGAACGCAGGCATGCGGTGGCAGCGAAGCTGGGCCATAAAGCTAAGGAGCTGGGCTTGCTTGAGCGAGGCCTCCTGAGTGAATACAGCCGGTGTGGCATCTTAGCTGCAGTTTTGCAGATCGTGTGAATCTGTCAAAACCTCTGGGGTTGAGGCTGTGGGAGATATTGCCTCCGAGGCAATACATCTCTGCTGAAACTGAGCAGGTCTCAAACACTGCTGGTGCCCCCTTGGGGTGATAGGATCTGAAGGGGTTCTTCCTTAGGTTGAAGCTAACTCAGATAACAGTTTTGCCCATGTCTTCAAGGGTAGCCCACGGCAGTAGTCAAGGCTGCACTGAAACCATTGGATGAATCATGGCTGCATTCACTGGGCAAAACAGCTATGAGTTGGTTTAACACCTCATGTTTTTCTTTTTTTCTTGTTTTAATCTGTATTAAGAGTGTTTCCATAGAATAAAAGGGAAGGAAGAGAGGGAGGGAGGGAGGGAGGGAGGGAGGGGAAAAGGAAGGAAGGAGAGAGAGGAAAGAGAAGAAGGAAGGAGGAGAGGGAGGGAGAGAGAGAAGGAAGGAAAGAGGAAAGAAGGAAGGAGGAGAGGGAGGGAGAGAAGATGGAGGGAAGGAAATCAAACAGATAAATATTAAGAAATATATGAATAACTTCCAGTCTTCTTCTTAACAGGCCGTTAGAATTGTATTGTTCCTTCTTCCTTGTGAATCTTATACATCCCTTCTATCCTTCATTCAATCCATGTTTTTCTTAAATCTTCAAATCCGGAAATCATTATATCATTTCTTTTCTTTTTCTTTCAGCAAAAAAGTCCATATAAGGTTTCCAGCCTTTCAGACCAGTTTTATTGGAGTTTTTTTTGTTTGGGGGGGAGGGGTTGTTTTTCATTGCATTAATTACAACCCCTAACCTAGGAAAGTATTTTAATTAATCTGCCCCCTTAATGCAGTGCAATATTGTTAACTTCTGGTGAGTTGTAAGATATTAACAGGCACAAAAACAGCTAACAGGAAGCAGATGAACGTATTTTAATATGTTTTCCAAAAGTATGGAAAGAATATAACTTTATTGGATTCACCAAGGAGAACCCCCCCTCCCCTGTCTGTTTCTGCACACCCCACCTCAATGGGTCACTCCCCCATTCTCTAGGCCACGTCCACCAGTCTTCACCAACACTTATATCATGTTTTTTTTTTTTGAAGGTTTAAGTCAAGGGTCTTCAAACTTGGCAACTTTAAGACTTGTGGACTTCAATTCCCAGAATTCCTCAGCTGGCTGAGGAATTCTGGGAGTTGAAGTCCACAAGTCTTAAAGTTGCCAAGTTTGAAGACCCCTGGTTTATGGGAACATGGTTCCAGATGGGAGCATCTACCAGGAAGTAGATGGCAGCCCAAATTATTCAATTATATTCAGGTAGTCCTTATAACAGATCATATAGAGACCATTCAAAGTTGCAACGGCACTGAGAAAAGTGACTTATGACCATTTTCCACACTTATGACCGTTACAGCATCCCCTTGGTCATGTGATCCAAATTCAGACACTTGCCAACTGATTCATATTTATGACGGTTGCAGTGTCCTGGGACCTTCTGATAAGCCCAGTCAATGGGGAAGCCAGATTCACTTAACAGCTGTGTTACTAACATAGCTGTAATGATTCACTTAACAACTGTGGCAAGAGAGTTCGTAAAATGGGACAAAACTCACTTAACAAATGTTTCACTTAGCAACATAAATTTGGGGCTCATATTGTTGTAAGTCAAGGACTATACTTAGTTGTGGCTGCCAGTTTTTGTCCAACTCCCACTGGACTTTTGCCAGATGTTTCTTCCCCCTTCTACCTGGAAAAGAATCAGATATCTTCCAGCTATTACTGAGATTATATCCCTAAATAAACTACAATTGGGTAGTTCTCATCCCATTGACATAACCAGGTTTGGTCCCCATTTGTAATTCTATGCCTGAAATACAAAAGAGAATGCAAGCAAGAAATTAAATTAAAATGGAACAAACCAAAAAAAAAGGCTGCAGATAAACATACTTAAGACATGTTTCTTTCTTTTTTTTTCAATCAAGCAGATAATGGCTAATCTAAGAACATCATCCAAAGAAGTCCATGAGGACTAGCACATCAAGTACATTGACTACAAAAGTGCATCTCCTATCGTAGTGGAAGAATGAAGGTGTTACTGAAAAACCCGAGCCGAAAGCAAAAGAAAAGATTTACTTGAACGAAGTTGAGCAAACTTTGTTTCATTTCTCAAGAAAAAAGGAAGAAAAGAGAAAATTAAGAAATGCATTACAGTGACACATGTAACAAGAGTTTTGGCATTGGGAGATAATCTGCAGATCTATCAAAATAGTTTGCAGGGGGGAAAAATTGTTCCATTGTGCAGTGCCTATGACAGGATCTCTGATAAAAAAAATTGTCTATCTTAAAAAGTGAGCTACTAAGTCTTCCTTTATTCTAAGTTCGAGGTCAGATTCAAAATTCATAAAAGGTCAGACTCTGCATTCTTCAAACACGATGAAAAGGATATTGAGGCAATGTTAATCAGACTTGCTCAGGGGGGAAAAATCTGGATTTGATCTCATCATTACACTTTTCTTCCCAGGAAATTGTTCACATACATGGCTGTGGCAAGAAAAGAGTACCACCAAGTGATGGAACCAACAGGTTAATTCGGTCCCAACCAACACAGAGCAAATCGGAGTTTTCCTTAGGCAATGCCCAAAACTTAGGCGCAAATGGCATCGCAGGAGAGAGATGTTTGGGAAACTGCAGGCAATCCAAAGATGGTTAAAAATTCCTGGGCAATTCAGAATAAAAAGGAAATAGAGACGAGTCCGGAATGGAATCTTTCTATGGAAGACGGTCTGGCTCTGCATTTGGGGTCTCTTGGAAACAAATCCTTGGACGCAGCCGAGCAAAAAAACTCACCAAAGAGATATTCCAATTTTCCTCTCGAATTTCAGTCGGAGGACGAAACAGAGGATATTGCAATACATGCCAGCTGCCTAGCGGGCGCATCCCAGATCAGCATCAAAGAGGAAAACTTAGAACACCCCGAATATGAATGGGCGCTGTGCCAAAACTCTGTCCCGTTTCTGGCTGAAAGGATCAAAAAGGAAGCCAATGCAAACCCCCCACTGAATTCAGAGTTTGGGGAAAATGTGGACGCAGCCTCGATTTTCCTCAAAAGGTGCCCTACTTCCGTGTTTATAAAGCAGGATGGGAGCTTTGCCAAATCCCAGGAAAATATCCCCGTAATGCTGGAAGAGCCGAAAGCAGAGAAGACATTCCCCTGCCCTGTTTGCAGCAAAGAATTCAATCAAAAGTCTAATCTTACTCGGCACCACAAAATCCACACTACCGAAGGGTCGTATAAGTGCAGCAAGTGTGGAGAAAGCTTTCGCATGAATCGGCAACTCCTTCGGCACCAGCGGATGCATCTGAGCGACCCGTTCAAATGCACCGAGTGCGGAAAGAACTTCAGCCGCAGGTCCAATTTGATCAGGCACCAAAGGATCCATACGCGGGAAGCGCCGTACCAGTGTCCCGAGTGCGAGAAAACCTTCAACCAGAAAACCAATCTTTTCAGACACCGGATGATCCATATCCAGATGGGACCTTGCAATTGTACCAAGTGCGGGAAACTTTTCACGCAGAGAAAGAATCTAGTCAAGCATCAGAAGCTGCACCTGAGCGAGGGGGACCAGAAATGCTTCATTTGCGGGAAGCAGTTTCGGCTGAAGAAATACCTCCGGCGACATCAGAAAATCCACAGTCGTGAGATGCCAAATATTCATAAAACTCAGATGGAGTGACCAGGTTTGGCGAGAAGAACTGGAATTACAGACTGGTGGTCCCAAAGGTGCTTTTTCACAAGGCAGCTGAACTTTCTTGTTTTTCTTCGAAGACATTTCGCTCCTCATCCAAGAAGCTTCTTCAGCTCTGGCTGGATGGTGGTGGGGAATGGAAGGATTTATACAGTCAGAGCTGAAGAAGCTTCTTGGATGGAAAGTGAAACGTCTTCAAAGAAAAAATGAGAAAGTCCAGTTGCCTTCTGAAAAAAAGCACCTTTGGGACAACCCTGATCTGGATGACGGAGAATCTCCATAGACATAAAGGCTGGTGGAAAACTCAAAATGGCAGGGCAGGTCGTTCTCGCTTAGCGACTGCCTCTTTTAGTGACCTTTGCAGTTACGACGGGGGAGGAAACAGTAACTTTGCAACCAGTGCTTCCATTTATCACCTTTGCAGGTTTGTAAAGCAAAGAAAACCTGAAGGAAGATCAAAACCACCCTGATGATTTTACTTAGCAATTGCTTCTTTTAACGACTGAGTTGCCAATTATGGTTGCTAAATGAGGACTACTTGTAGGCATACCTGGAGATGCGGACATCCAAGTGAAATATGAAGGTTTCGTATGCTTAAATCACATTTGAAAAAAAATCATGCGGTCTTCCTCCTTGCAGCCATCTGGGACTTAAAGCAGTGTGTTTTCACTGTGTGTATGTGTGCTAATTCACAGGACTAATTTTGTGTGTTCTCCAGGAACACAGAAAGTAGCGCTAGGATGGAATAGAACCTTTGTCATTGTGAATTTTTGCCTGGGCACCCTACAAAGGACACCACCAACTTTGTGGTTGCTAAGATACTTGCCCAAAAAATGGAATTAGGAAAGTTTCTAAATTAATTTCTGTTGGTTACACATCTTGAAACTTCATTCTGCCGAGCAATTTACCTGTTCCTCCTCCACAGCTAACAAAAATTGTGCGAAAAAGGTTATATAAATTTTTTGCACTTGTGTAAGATGTGCAAGATGACTTCAGGATTGTTTTGGGTGGAAAGACACACACATATATAATTTCCTTTAGAGTCTCAGCCCAATGACTGTGATTTAAGAAGCAGGCAGTTCCTATTTCCTGTCATTTCCAGCCAACGTGTCAGGTCATATGGGGGGGGGGAGGGTAAACAGGTAGGATGATCTCATCCTATTTTATTCTAAAGCTGCATTAACAGAATCTTGCAAGTCTGAAAGTGAAAAATCTCCTGCTGTCTTTCTGGTCCCTTCTGAGCCTTCCCCTTGTGCATTATGCAGCTGTGGGCTGCGCCATTTCTTATCTGACCATTTTCTTGGCAATGTTTCTTTGCCCAGTCTCCTACGGACAAATCATGTAACGTGGCTTAACGGTAAAGACAAGGAGATTTTAAAACATCTGGTCCTCTATGACGTTTTACAAGGACCTGAATAAAACTTCCATTTCCATCCTGCTTCCTGAATTATGCAACAAGATTCCTTTTCTGCAACGACAGGTAATCCTCGGCTTGCAATAGTTTTATTTAGTGACCTTTCAAAAGTCACAACGGTACTAAAAAAAAGGGATGGTCGTTTTTCACAGCAGCATCGTCCCCTTGGTCATGTGAATAAAATTCAGACGCTCGGCAACTGACTTGTATTTATGACAGCTGCAGTGTCCCAGGGTGATGTGATCCCCTTTTGCAATCTTCTGACAAGCAAAGTCAATGGGGATGAAGCCCAGAGTCACTTAACATTGTAAGCACAACATAAAAAATAGGGTGAACATCGGCTTGTCCATTCTCTGGTTATGATTCTGTGATTTGATATGATTCTGCAGCTTTTCTGGCAGATCAACAGGGAATTGACTGGCAGTGGCTTTTTTTTTTTCCTGGCACGTTTTTCCTGTTTGGTCTACAAGCCTGGGGATTTGCTGGTGTTGCCATCTGAATATTGGGCAAAGCATGGGATGAACAATAAATAAACTGAATTATCTGTGGCCTCTTTGCTTTAGTCTGTAACGCATCTTAAAAAGTCAAGGTTTTGTTTTTTCCCCCCCAAGTTTGAGTTCAATATCTGGTGTTTCTTATCAATAAAAAAGTGGTCTCTTCTCTCTGTGAACCCCACTCTCTTCTAGCATTGATAATATTACCAAGTTTAGTAATGAAACATCTGTAAGAAAACAACCTCAGTTGTTCTCCTCCTCCTCTTTTCTTTTTCTATTTTCTCCTCCTCCTTTTCCTATCTTCTATTTCACCTCCTCCCACCCTTTCCCGTTGTAGCCTACAGCTCTGCAGTCTCCTAATAGGCTGTCATGTAAGTACAAGTAGTCCTTGACTTACGGCAGTTCATTTAGTGACTGTTCAAAGTGGGAAAAAGGGACACGACCGTTTTTCACATGGACCACTGCAGCATCCCCATGGTCATGTGACCAAAATTCAGACGCTTGGCAATTGACTCACTTTTATGACGGTTATCCCGGGGTCATAGGACCCTCTTTTGCAACCTTCTGACAAGCAAAGTCAGTGGGGAAGCCAGAGTCACTTAACCGCGATCCTAATATGTAACTATGATTTATGACCTAGTACTTACATGTATATTGTGGGTCTATGCAGAGACAAATTCCTTGTGTGTCCAATCAAACTTGGCCAATAAACAATTATTTTTCTTTCTATCTAATAATAATAAAGTTGGAAGGGACCTTGGAGGTCATCTAGTCCAACCCCCTGCTCAGGCAGGAAACCCTACACCATTTCGGACAAATGGCTGTCCAGTCTCTTCTTAAAAACTTCCAGTGTTGGAGCATTGTCTATCTACTATCTATAATTTATCTATCATATCCATATCTATCTATCTATCTAATCCATCTATATCTATCATATCTATCCATCTATATCTATCTTCTATCTATCTCTGTCATCTAATTTTACAATTGCAGTAATTCACTGAAAAACTGGCAAGAAATGTCATAAAATGGGGCAAAGCTCACTTAACTATCTTGCTTAGAAACAGAATTTTTGGACTCAATCGTGGTCGTAAGTCAAGGACTATCTGTACTAGGCAGACCACCTTAGCTACGATGGAATTTGCCATCACCCCCTCAATTTTTCCTCCTGCCTCCCCCCCCCCCATTTAAAATTCAGGACAGACCTCATTAGTTAGCAAGGCCTTAAATCCAGCCAAGACTTATGTTTTGGCTTTACTTGATTTGTAAAATCAGCGGCACAACGGGTTGTTCAGGCTGATGGGAGCAGGTGGGTAGGAAGAAATTGCATATGGATCACAGCTAAGGATGCAAAACTGGGTCACTAATCCAACAGCAGTGGGCACTTTAATCCTTCCTGAGCGAGAGACTAAAAGGAGCCAGGCCTAGTTCCTTTGCTTATGGAAACCGTGGCTTTAAAAATAAAATCCACCTCTATGTAGACTTTGATCCTGTTAAGAGAGGTCAGCCAAAGGATTAACTTGCTCAAAAACATTTTATCTTTTGGGCAGGTGCTGAGAATAAACCTTGGAGGAGATTACCATTAGATTAACACTCGAGAATATTCTCCATAAATAATCGATAAAGAACAAAAAGAATAAAAGTTCTGTGTTGCTGCTAGGAAATTGTGTTTTTTTTCCCCTGCAACGGATACAGATATTTTTTTTATTTAAACTTATTTTCCAGGGTATGGGCTGGAACAGAGTCCTGATCTGATGCCTCCTATTCCAGGCACCTGTAATTATATAGTATGTATTTTTAGTGTTTAGGAAACAAGTGAGCCAAAATCTTATTTTCTCGCAGGATTTCCGCAATTGGAGAGGTGAGATTGCGAGTTCAGGAGGATTGGACACTCCCAAATTATGGGGTACAATTCCAGACGAAGTAGGGCTGTAGGCATGGATGGTGTTTTTTCCCTGGATGGATGAAACTGCTGTTTTTTTTTTTTCCCAAATTTGATCACTGTTAAGATGCGCGGACCTTAAATTCACAAAATTCTCCAACCACAGTAACTCTTGGAATTATGATTAAATAAAGGCAGACTAGTCATGTAAATCAGAGGGGGGTATATACTGTGTCTCTCTGGTTACAGTGTTTGAACGTTTGTAACTATCATTTAATTTAACTTAATATGTCAAGATTCAGACCACTATATTCCACAATGACTCTTGAGTGACTTAGAATTTAAAGAGAATAGAAACCACCTCGTAACATGCAAGATCAAAAGATGAATGGAAAGAAAACAGGAAAGGGAAAGGAAGAGAGGAGGGTGTGAGGAAGGAAGGAGGAGGAAGGAAAGAAAAAGAAAAAAAGGGAAGTGGGTGTGAGAAGGGAAGAAAGGGAGGGAGGGAAGGAAAGAAAAAAAAGAAAAGTGGGTGTGAGGAGGGAAGAAAGGGAGGGAGGGAGGGAGGGAGGGAGGAAAGAAAGAAAAAGAAAGAAAGAAAGAAAGAAAGAAAGAAAGAAAGAAAGAAAGAAAGAAAGAAAGAAAGAAAGAAAGAAAGAAAGAAAGAAAAGGAAGAAAGAACCCAGATGCTGGTTCCCAGGCCACCTGCAGTTCTCAAAAGCTGCGTCTGGCAATGCTTTGTCATGCAGCTTTTGAACCCACTGCCTTTTCCTTTTCCCAAGGATCTTGTTTTTCCACTCCTCTTCGCACTAGCTGCCTTTAGTCTCTGGAGGCCAAGTCTAGGAAAGATTCTGCAATTGCCAATTTGAGGAGAGGGCTTGCAGCAATAGCACTTAGACTTACATACCACCCCACCCCACAGCACTCTTTGGACAGTTTACAAAGGTCAGCCTATTGCCCCTCCCCAACAATCTGGGTCCTCAATTTAACCACCTCGCAAGGATGGAAGGCTGAGTCAACTCTGAGTGGGTCAGGATCGAACTGCTGACAGGCAGGCACTGACCACTGCGCCACCAGGGCGCAGTAAGATTGCTCCCAGGGTGGTGGTTCTCAACCTTTTCTTTACCATGGTCCCCCTTTAAGTGCCTTTTGTGGCCACACACCATGGCCACAAGACCCCCCCAAGATTTAAGATTTAAATTGTAACATTTCTTCAAGTCTTCGTGCCCCCCCCCCCCCGAGATGACATTGCAGCCCCCGAGGGGTCCATAGACCACAGATTGAAAGCCACCATCGTCCCAGGACAAACTCCAAACGGCACCGATCACCTCTTCTGTCTACACAATTTTCAGAGAA